CCCTCAGGGTGAAGTTGTATTCCTTAATCAGTGATTTGAGTCTGTAAGACTCCCACTAGATCTTCAATCATATAATGAATATTTGGGTTCAGTTAAAACTTTTTAGAGAATAATGCTCCTTCTACTAATGTGCTCAGGATCTATTTAGCAATAGAAAATTTCACATGACATCTCTCCACTTAATGTTGGGCACTTCATTTTATTCAAAGGGTGAGATACAAAAAGTAAGCAAAAGACAAAACCCAAACTATAAAATACTACATACAAAATTAAAACATCTTCTGCAGACGGCATATAACAGGAAGCCAGATACAGAATGGTCCCCATGAACCAAGCCAGCTGGATATGTACATGCAAAGGAAAACAATGCTAGAAGGGAAGATATGGTAATATTTGCCGCTTCAAATTTCTATTTACACACACTGAAGAAGGAAGGAAACTAAGTTAGCCTTCAATTCGGACAGATACCAATGGTTTTCTGTCAGTTTTCTCACACTGGGGAGGGATCCCATGTCTTGAGGTAAATGTCTAAAGGACCTAGCCTTTGCCATAACTAAGCATTCACAATCCACTTTAGTGTGGCTTACTTTGTCTGTAGACCCCTTCACCTTCCATGTTGACGTCTGCCTGTGGTCTGGAGGAGGGAAGAGCTATACAAAAAGTACAACATCCCACACTGAAGGTATCACCAGTCCCAGGGTGTCTCTACACTGCAATCAGTTGTGACTGCAGCACATGTAGACCTAACGTTATTCAAGCTAGCTCTGCTAACAGTGTAGCTGCAGGACACAGACTCCGGGTTCTGGATGGGCTTGTATAGCCACAGCTTCACCACTATTTTTACTTAGATCAATGCTAGCTCAGGTATGTCCTAAAAGTTCTACAGTAAAATCACTGAATGCAATACACACACACACCTCTAGTCTCCCATTTGGCAGTCTAGTAACCAGGCTCCAGCATGTTCCCATGACTTGCTTCTGGAACATAGGAATTTGGCTCTGATTTTTTTCAAACATTCCTACGGATTTTGTCTCCTGTGTTTAAATATAAGTTGGGTGAAGATTTTTAAAGCTGCTACTTCACCCCCCCTCCCCCCCGTATGAATGGTAATTTAAAAAGTGTATCTCCGCCTTTGAGCAAACCAAGCATGTCAAAGGATGCTTCATTTAACACACAGGTGCCAGAAGCATATCACCATTATTTCTAGGTGGGGATTACATTGGAATTTAACAAACATTTTGAAAAACTGTTCAAATGTTTTTAGGATAACCTCTTTATTGGCACATAATTTAAAGTAGAATAGAGGCCAGGGTTGTTGCCTTTGGATCTTGCTGTTCAGTAAAAGTTGAGGCCCAAAGAATATCCACAGATCAGAGTAACTTAGTCCACAAACACAGAGGGTGCTAGTTAGAGCATGTCCAGGGTAAGGTTTTAAGTGCCATTGTACTGGTGAATATGGCAGGGCAGCAAATGTCAGGATTTTAAACACACATAGGGCCTCCTCTTGAAGTCTTTTATGCAATACTCTAACAATAGGCAGGAGAGGGGAGACAGAATGGCTTACACCTTTTCCAGTTGTGACAATGCTTCTGCTACTGTATACCCTGGTATCAATATACCTGCACCAAGTTCCAGGAGTGAACTTGAATGAGACCTGCTTAGCAAATACAATAGCACTTCCACAGGGAAGAACAGAGTTCTTTGCCTGAAAAATTGTCTAGTTCTATATTTCAGTAAGTTTAAAAACACTCTGGATTTGTTAAATAATTGGTAGGCAATTTCTTCTCTTGAAAGAGCAGCAGTAGGCGTTATTGTTGAACTCTTTATGCACATAGATTAGGAGAAGAGTATATGCACTAAAACAAAAGTGAACATATGCTACATTTTTACTAAAAATGCTTTTCAGACAAGTTTATGCAAACAGTATATGGCTGATAGTCAAACAGCAAGGATGAGGCTATACATTTGATTGATCTGAGGCTCAATTTTAAGAAGAGGGCTACTTTTTTTTTTTTTTTTAAATACATCAGTTAGGATGGAATTAATGTTACTGGCTCAGTAATCTAAACATTCATTTCAGAGAGCACAAGACAGTCTAAAACTTCCAGCTAGCAGCACGAGGATAAACTAGTCTGGGAGAGGAGACGGACAAACTTTGTTTCAAACTGCAATATATCTAGTGAGATAAGAAAATCCTGTATACAATCTCTCAGGACACTGGCATGGCAATTGGTAAAAATGAGATGCTTTAAGGATATCATACCATAATCATTCAAAAAAAATTCTTCACAGTGAGTGTGTTCCATAACATTCTTATTATACATTGCAATATCTGATAGTCTAGTCACATATATTTCAATTTTAGCAGGCTGAGCTTTGGACCTTAATGCAGTTCCCTGGTTTAGTCTCTTCCTCTGCAATTTACAGGGTTGGGGTTAATTTTGCTCAATTTCTAACTAGTGAAGAGTTTGTGTAGTAATTCTTATAGGCTACATGCCTTAAAATGAGGATGGGTAGCCCCTATTCTTCATATCATCAAACTAAATGAGTGACTTTGCAATATTTATAAAATCTCACAAGATAAAACAGCTCTGTAGAAACTACACAGCTCTTTAATTTAGTATCCTATTTCTTTGGTCCTTTGTATCAATGTTCTCAATCAGATTTGTGCCATGTAGCAATTCATATTTAAATATAACGAGCATATACTTAATATACCAGCGGAGAAGCAGATGTCCCACTTCTAAAATAAAATCTCATCTGTACAAACCTAGACAAGCACTTCTAGCTAATTTTCCAAGTTGATTAGGGGAAAAAGACCTCCAAATCAATTCCTCTCCAGGAAATTGATGGGTACAATAGCTTCCCCCTTTAAGGGCTTCACTTACATTAGAATCACTGCAAACAAGGACATAGGATCTTAACCTGCACCTTGACTTCAGCCCTTCCAAGTTTAAACTGCTTGAACAGCAGCTCCCTCCCTTTTAAAAATTAAACTAACATAAGCTGAGGCAAGTCACATCAGAAAGAAGGTTGACAGGAGGAAGGTTCAGGTTAAACTGGCTTTAGCTAATGTGCAGTGCTGGGCTATACAAAAAATGTTGCTTGTTTGTAAATCATTGTGGGGAAGTCTCAATTGTCAGTTCAGGCTGAGGTGTCTAATGAAAGTAGCATCTATTGTAATTAGCAAATACTGTTGGAATTAAATTGTATTTAAGAATGAAGTAGTAAATGTAGCAAATTAATAGCTCAGCACAAATCACAGCCCACATACAACACATTAATAACTGTACTCAAGTTTGTCATTTAAAGAAAAATCAAGTTCAGGTCATTATTGGTTTAGTTGAACATATGCTTCCAGCTCTTGTTAAGATGGTAAAACTAAGCAGCGAACAGATCTATGAATAAGATACACAAATACAGGAAGCTTAAATTATTTACTTCAGTTCATATCAATTTTAAGAATGACAGATGGCATTACTACAGCTACGGTCCTTTGAACCTGTGTGAGCAATTGTCTCCTGACTCAACCTGGATTATGCAATTCATTACTCGACTACAACATACGCACTCAGAAAGCCAAGTTCTTACCCTAGCGTTGGACAGTCCCTCTGGTAAAGCAGACTTCTACAAGGTCAAAATATTACATTTTGTGAAGAAAAAAATCCCTAAATATTGCAAGTGACCTTCATGTTCCATTAATAAGCTACAGGCTTCACTTTACATCCTACAGTACTATGTTCTTTTATATGCCTTGTGTGTAACTCTGGCTGTTTACTTCAAACCCACCACTGACCATATGAAATTGAGACTTTTGTTGAAGTTCAAGGTACCTTTGCTATTTAACATCTTCTGCAAGCTACTTAAAATATTGTTTGTAGTCTTGTGAAAAAGCTTTAATTTTCCTGGTCTAATTCTCAAACCCAAACCATATATACCACTGAAACTATTTGCTGTCACTCGCACGAAGTAACAGCAGCCGAGCTGCAGAAATGAAAGCCACGCATTTGTTCCCTGCAACTCTCCTGGCCAACAGTCAATATCCTTGATAGACTGACATCTTTGTTAAAGGACACTGTCACGTGTAGCAAGCCCCAGCCTAACTTTTTGTGTAGTGCCATTCCCTCCATTGTGCACACATGGAATGGAGTAAGCAGGGAGGCTTGTGAAATATACAAGGATCCTGTTCTTAAAGCAAGTTTCTTGTATGTGTTCCAAATCATGCTTGCTAACAGCAGCAGCACAATAAACCCAGAACCTAAATTGGGATTCTCTTTAGTGTTGCAATGCGCATGTGGGAGCACTAGATTTCTCCTTCTTTCCCCCCCAAAAAACAAGGAGATGATGTTGTTTGCAAATATTACATGCTGGGCCTTTGAATGTTCCTTCTATTTTGGTAAACTATCCAATATTGGGTCAGATGCTGCTCTCACTTACATGTTAGAATGAGCTGTGACAACTCCATAGTTATGTTGTCTAACAGCAGGATTGTCAGTTGCTAGGCATTTGGCATAGACCAGATCCTTTCTGAGGCTAATTTTAGGCTCGCTAACCAAATTATATAAAAGGATTTAAGGAGAGATTCTGATTAGTCACTGGATTTCCCTTTATGTAAACAGGGCAGAATTTGACCTAATCTCTTCTAAACCATCATGTCTGAATCTCTGTAGACTCATTCATGGCCTAATACAGCTCTAATTTCAGTGTCCGACATTGGCACGTACCTTCACTAGCGGAGGCACTGCAGATACTTTAGTCAATTGCATTATCTCAGTAAGGTTCATTTATACCTAAATTATCTCATTAAATTGCCCCTCAGACTGCTTCCTTTAAAAGATTACCAAGTCTCCTAGTGAACACCTTTCAACAAAACAAAGCTATTGACATGACATATGGAATCAATTTGACAATCACTAATGTAACAATTATGGTGATTTTATACACAAACGATGATTTGATCTAGGGGACTTTAAAATCAAGGTATTTTGGTACCCAAAATGTCTCCCCATACCCCTAAGATTCAGATGCGCTTTTACTCTACAGTTACAGATTTGGCCAGATTTCTTGGAAAATCAACCTGTAAAAAGAAAAAGAAAAATGGAATTTTTGTAAGCAAGACCACACATACCACTATTTTTACACTTCATGAAAGGCCAGTTCAGGTAAGACAATGTTAAAGTTACTAGCATCTGTTAAAAGTCCAAACAAGCAAATAACGTGTCATGAAAAAAATTTCATATTAGTTGCAGCTTTCAAAACTGCTCTTGCAAGGCCTCTCCTGCACCTATGTAGCACAGGCTCAAACTATTAGTGTTTTGTAAAATATTTACTTCAGAGAGGTTTAATCTGAGGCATAAAGGGTAGGAGTTGGAGACTGTGTATCCATGATCCTTTTAAAGAAGGGAGAACACAGAAGTTACTGCAGGGAACTATTCAGTCTCCCTTAGTTAATTTTACAATTTTAGCAAGAAAAGGTAATCAGTGTAACCATATTACCAGTAAAAACAAACCCCTGTACTGAATGTTCGACTCGCATAGTACATTTAGTTAAGTATGTCATGTAAGTTCATTGTTAACTCTTACAAGTCTGAGAACTTGTGGCGGTTTCAAAGAAAAGTGCTATAAAACGTGACTTTGAGAAACTATTTTTCAAACATTCTTTACTAGGGTTTGCAAGTAGGAAATAGTAGTTCAGCCAAGAGAATTGTTGTAAATAAATCAAAGTACAGGAAACTTCTCTGATCTAGCTCAAGTGGCAATTAAGCTTAATTAATTAAACCCAGGGGGCTTGTCTACACAAGACTTTGTTTGTGGCAAGCCAGGATGTAAATGGACAGTGCTCTAGCCTGCCACACATTAAGGAGCCAGGTGGACTCTGTTATAATGCACTGTTAGATTAAAGGTGCTAGTAAATTCAAAGAACTGTATAGGGTTCTGTTCAGTATAATAGATCTACTATAAGTCCTTTGGAGAGTATATAGACAATAAAGGAAGGTATTTAAAGGTAGTATAGTACTTACATCATATCCTCTGAGCACTGCAAGATGGAAAGCCAGAAGCTGTAAAGGGATGACACTCAAGATTCCTTGCAGACAGTCCACGGAATGAGGAACTTTGATTGTCCTCTTATTATTATTAATTGTCTCTGTGTCTTCCTTATCACAAATCACTACCGGTCGCCCCTGGAAGAAAGAGAAGTGTCAACAAGTAACAGGCAGAGTTAGATACACAATACTCCAGAAAGGTTGTCTGATAGGGCTCTTGCTTGCTTGTGTTGAAATCCCTGGCAAAACTCCCACTGATCTAAAGAAGGGCAGGAACCTTTCACTTAAAAATAATCCAGAACAAGGCAAGTGAGAATAGCAACAGTATTTTACATTTGCCATGTTGCTTTTTTGAAAAGACTTTGAGCCTAACCTGCATTTTCCTTCATTACTTAGATACAACTTCCACATAGAGAGAACCATTTCATTTTAAAAAATTACAGCAGTCTTCTTCACAAAAAATGAAATTCCAAAACAAGATAATGCATCAAGATAAACCTCTTTAAACCAATAAGCCATACACTAGACTATTACCTTTTAAGTGTCAGTTTCGACAAGATACCTAAAAGCCCCAACAGACTATTTACTTCAGAGTGCAATTTTTAGGCATGGGCTCTAACTGGCCCCAGACTACTGAGTAGTCATTCGATGGTAATAAAGTTGTTACTGCTGGACTTGAACTGGCATTCTAAAATCCCACAAAGGAACCGTAAAACTGCTTACAGTAGATTTAGGAATGAAGGGAACAATTTAAACTTCTAGACTTGGGATGATGCCATTCACGTCCATCTCCAATTACTCACCTGCCGCGCCATAACCTGCTGGAGAGCATTCTGGCACTTAGCATACGTATGGTCCCTTGTGATGATCATGATAACAGGCATCAACTTGTCTACCAGGGCGAGGGGACCATGCTTCAGCTCACCAGCCATTATGCCTTCCGAGTGCATGTATGTGATTTCTTTTATTTTCTAGAGAGGAAGAAGGATATCCCTGTTAATCAAGCTACACTTTGGCCCTTGTTCAGTACACTGAGCAAGAATAGGGAGGTGTTGATGCATCATCATAGGAAGAAACTAGCTCTAAAGCTACCTCCACATTCCAGGGGAAGGGTGATTTAACTAAATTGTTTATTGGTGAATTCTGGGCCAGTCTGTTGTTTGCATAAGTCAGCTAAAGCAGGCTGGAAACCTGGATCTGGCTCAGAAGAGGGCCATCAGCCCTCCTGGGTTCTATACCCACAGCTGCCCTTGCCCCCAAGTCTCTTTAAACCCTATCTGTAAAACAGATAATACCAACCTTCCTTCCCAGGAGCACTACGGCTTAATGTTTGTATTAGGGCTTGAAAAGGTCATACTCTGTGTAAGTGTGAGAAGAGGAAATATTAAGTGTCAATAGTAGCAGCACATAACTCCTGCTGAAGACAGGGCCAGATCTTCAGTGGGCACTGTAGGGTGTGCTGGTCAGTTTTGAAAATCTGGCCCCGATTACATGGGTACTGAGCACTCTTGAAAGAATCCCTCAGTCATTAAAGGAACTCACCCAATGGCATAGCTTTAGTGCAGTAACACAGTGATTGGAAAAGTAAAAGTCCATCCAGCATTAATGGAGGGCAATGAGGTTTAATAATGTCAAGAGGGTACCCATGTTTAAAGCTCATACAATCCTCAGATCCAAGTTAAGTGCCAGTGGGTGTGCATTTATCATCCAGATCTACCCAAGGCAGTTCAGAGGGGTTTTAAAGGAAGAGAAACTCCTTACCAAAGCTCCCTCAAGACATGTAGCGTAGTGATAGCCACGTCCCATAATCAAGACCGACTTCTGATGGTAAAGCTCTGTTGCCAGTTTCTGGATCTCATCATCCATGCTCAGCACTTCTTTAATCAAGTCTATTAGTTAGGAAGAGGCAAAGGGTTAATCCAAAATACAAACTAAAGAGATAGAGACACACATTTACTCAGTACCAGGAGCAAACAAACTGGTTTGCCTTCCTCTAATATTAACTGCAACTTTACAGTGGGGATTTAGTGAGCCTGATTTTTTCCCCCCGGCACCAAAGCCCCTTTACACTGCTCTGCCGATGTATTCTTCTGAATGAGAATCAGGTCCAAAGTTCACACTGAAATGTGGATATACCAGCTATCTTCATCTTGCCCTGATGCCCTATTTTCCAGTGGAACTTAATCTCTTGGTAGAGGGCTGGCACAAGATCTATGCAGCATTTAATTTCACTCCGCAAGAACAGTGTAAATGCAATATTAAGAAAGATGCTTCATACCTGGTAGGACCTTGAGACCATGCATGATTTCTTTGCGTCTTTCTTGCATAGAAATCCTATCATCACACATCATGAGGGCAAACATCACCAGAGAAACAAACTGGCTAGTGTAGGCCTAAAGAGGAGAGACAGATAAATATTTTATATGCTTCTAAACATGATGGCATTACTTGATTGACAATGATTGTGAGGATTAGACAGCCAGTCTATACAGAGTCTGAACACATATAGAACCTCATATGCCCAAGTATCACAAATTTAATACTTTGACATCTGTATTTCCAGGACCATGCATTTATACAAGCTATTTAAGAGCACCCTGCACTCGTCAAAAGAATGATGTCTGGGGGTTTAAGGAAATTAGGTGCCTGTTTAAGCACTGAATTTCAGTGGCACCTTTGAAAATCCCAACCAGCGTAAATGGTAAGGTCCATTTACACTGAGTGTCATAAAAGGAACGTAACATGAGTGAGAATCAAGTCCAAGGCTTTGGGATCATTTTTAATAGCTAAGATTTTAAAAGTATCATAAAGATGCCGTATTGCAAACAATGGCTTTGTGAAATTAATGTAGCCTGGGCAACAGCTGGAGACCACCACAATTAAGACAGCACTGCTGTAGGGCTGTAATGCCATCAGCGGCTAAAGGGAGAAAACACCAGTTTTGTGGCTTAATGTGCCCATTAAAAACTATACATTTAACTTGTTCAGGAGTTAACTTTTTCTTTTTAAAGGTCCCCTTAAAATCAAAGTCTAGTTTGAAACTGCTTGTTCTGTTTTTATCATGAAAGTCACTTCAAGCTATAAAAATGAACCTTTTATCCTTATTAAGTAAGGAAACAAGCAACTGAAACGTGCAAGACATCTCTTCAAATTGTGCAACAATTTCATTCCTAACTACCTTAGCTAACACACACACATTTAGTGTTCAAGAACAGTGCAAAGTAAATAGTTTGCTATTATCTTATGGCATGTTAAGTGGAAGATTTGATATCACATAATGAGAGAATTTACTTTTTATTGCACTTATTGAATAAAGGCTGATACCATTAGAGTCAATGGCAAAAATCCCATTGAGTTCAGCTGGACCAGGATGAAAGTTAGAGGTGTAACTAGTACTATCATGCCCTCCATCTCTAGGGTAATAAATTCTGATACAGCCATTAAAAGAAGAAAAGATTAACAAAAAGGTTAAAATTACAACAGCTAAACATCAGCTTTTTTTCCTAGAAAATTTTTTGGATTATTGACCTGAGAGTTTAATCAAGATATTTCAATCCAAAGAGTTTGACTAACAAACATTTCCCCTTGTCTGGCCTTTGTAGATTGTTCGCTACTATCTCACCTTGCAATTTTTAACTGACTTCTTATAAAACAAGAATTAAAGAGGAGGACTGCTCAACTCAAATTGTCATAAGGTAAATATTTAACTGCACAGAATGAGCCAGGGAACTGCAGATTGAGCTTTTACACCTTTCTTAGGCTGTATAAGTAAAACAAAACCCAACATCTTACAAACAGATAACTTTCATTTCTGGCTGCAAAGCAAACCAGGAATTAAAATTAACAAGTGAACTCATCGGTTGTAGCTAAATTTTCAAATGAAAGTAATTGTCCTTAAACAAGCTTCTGCTTCAATAGTGTAAAACATAGCTCTTTCAAGGCTTAATCTGTAAAGTGCTTTGAAATCCTTGAAAGAAAGGTGCAATATAACTGCAAAAAAAAAACCAATGGGTTTGCCTGTGTTGACATTTTTTGCTATTCAGGCATTCTACTACTAGCAGAATCAAGAAATGTATTTAACTATCTAAAGTTTGTACAAAGAAAAATGTTTTGTAACTATGCATCCATCATCATTTATGGAAAACAAGTTTATCAACTAATTTGCTGCCGAAGTTATAAAACTTTGCTGCATGACTAAAGTTTTTTAAATCTAAGACCCTAGCACCGTTGTACTTGGCAGTATACAGTTGAAGGTTAAAGTTGCTCTTTTGTATTAATTGGTACAGTTAACAGTGCTTGGATTTTTTCTGTCACCAGCAAAGGCTGCCTTTTGGATTCTTACGTTCTCAAATTGGATTTTCTGAGCAATGTCTTCTACAGCTGATCATTAGTTATCAATCTATGTTGAAACTGCAGCACATACAGGTAAGTCTCTGCATCACTAGAGAAAATACGTTTTCAGTGACCTACAAACGGTACAGTGTTGGCAATGCAAAAAAAGTCTATGGACAAATAGCTCACACGAGTTTTTGCGAGAGTGTCATGAATTTTCCATGATCAAATTCCCCAGTGAACTGTTAAACTCAACTGTGGTTTTTGGCTGAATTTATGTAGCAGATTGAAATCTGCTTTGATTTAGTTAAGTTTAAGAGAGATGATGTCAAAGTGCAGAAGCACTTTATCAAGCAAATATTTTACACTGTACCTTGGTCAACTATATCAGCCAGGGCAACTAAACCCCATAGTTAGACAGCCTTTTTTTTTTTTTTTTTTTAAGTGCATAGCTATTTACTAAAATTACTACCTTTAGTATGCCGTTAAGTGAAGCTATTTCCTTTCATCGGAATAATTCAGACATTTAATCCCCTCTTTTGTGTCCTGCACCACAGACGGAGCACCCGGGGCAAACTATGAGAGAAATGTTGGAAAATTGCCCTAACAAAAACCAGAAAAACTTTCAAAACATTTTCTGCCAACCAGCTCTGGAAACTAACCTGAGATAACAGTTTATAGGGTAAATAAGCCTGCTCCTCCTTGTCCACCAGTTAGAGGAAGCCTCCTTCATTTTCTCATACATGTTTCTCTTATTCAGCCCCGGTGAGAGATTGGGGCAGATATTGTATGAACATGAAGGTGATGTACAAGCTATAACTATGCCACTACAACAACCACAGAGAAGAGGAAGAGTAGAGATGTAAATTGTCTACCAAGGGCTAAGACCACTGCCTTCAGTGTGAATTATGCAGGCACATTGTCTGCACAACTCTATTCTGCAGCGACCTCCTTTTTCTTGTAATATCACACAGCATGTGGGTTAAATGAGAAGGGGCTGAAAACATGGAGTTTAAGGGGGGTCCTCAAATTTGGAACTTGTTAGTCCACCACAGCCCCAGCCTGATAAATTACACCATGCTGTAAAGTTTGATTTACATCTCTTGCTTCATGGAAGAGTCCCTGAAGAGGCAGCTGGAAAGTCTTAACTGCAGGAGGGATTGGAGGAACTACTAAGTGGATCACAGTAAGATTTTAATGTTAACAGGACTGATTCTCCTTTCACTTCTACAGGTGTAACTCCATCAACTTCAATGATTACTCCAGATTTATAGCAGAATCTGGATTGTGAATTGTACATGTGCCAAGAGCCACTAAATTAGCACATTTTAAACAAGTTTAAATAAAAATAGGGTTCCATTAACTTTTTCTGTAAAAAATAAACAGCTGGTCTCTTTAAATATGAACAGACTTGGAAGGAAAAGTGAGATGGTGGTTAGCCACCCAAGTAGTAACAAGGTATCCCACGATTCTATCTCTTTCCTTCTGTTAAAACTCCCTGATTCCCTTAAAAATGTATCCCAGCAGTCTGCAACCCTGCTACTCAGTGACAGACTCCTCCATCTTAAATGCACAATAGATATGTTGCTTTGGGCAATGTAAAATCTTTGTCCGTGTATATAATCAGATTTACTGTTGTGTACTGAGCAATTTTAGCTATTTTATTTTTAATTCCTTTGACTCATGTACTAAGATTGAAACAGTTTAAAATAAAATGCCTTATTATTCTTTAAATAGTTTTTTCTTATCTACATATCCTTGGATCAAAGAATGAAGTTGCTTTGTTCCCTGACTTAAAATATTAAGACTATTCCATCATAACATTCTGTGGCTCAATGGAAGTCTGTAGTAGTTTTAGTCTTAATCAATTTGTACCAACACAACTGGGAGGGTTTTTTTTTTTTTTTTTTTTTTGAATGTGCAGAAGCTGGCTAATACATAAACTGCTAAAAATCTCACACTGTGAAGTACCATGCAGTCTAAGTATGGTTAAAGAGCTTCAGTTAGAATAAAAAGCACAGTCAACTATACTTTAAATGAATGCTAGAACTATCTATTTGGTATTCACCTTTGTGCTGGCCACACCAATCTCTGGTCCTGCATTGATATGGACACCGCAGTCGGTCTCCCTGGATATGGAACTGCCCACGGTATTAGTTATTCCTACAGTGAGGGCTCCCCTTTCCTTACAGTATCGAAGACCCATCAAAGTATCTGCTGTCTCGCCTGCAAAGATTAATTTACATGGTCACAATTTAAGTTCAGTTATAGGCAAGATCATTGCAAGCCTTATTACTACTCTGCACTGGAGGACACAAAGTCAAATAGGTCAGCGGAAGTTTCAGGATGATACTGTAGTTTGCAATTACCCAATGCTTTGAGTGCCATTCGTTTTTAGTGTAATGGAAAGTGTTCAGCAGGAATGGTAAATGTCTTGCAAATTATAATGAAAATAGATCTCTTCTTTTGCCTTGGTTATTAGTAATTCACCATGAGCAAAGAACACTATACTTTAATATATATATATAGTTGCAAGTTAATTTGGCCCAAGTATACTACCTATGCAATATCTTAAATCATGTTAACATTTAGATGCAAAGGATAAATGTCCTACAATTTATAATACCTGCTATGCACCAATTCAAAATAATAGACTGCCAAAAACTCTAAAGGCAAGATGGGGAGGAGGAGCAGAGTTGGGTCCATAAGACAGCCCTTATTCCTAGTCATATTTGAATACTTATAACCCCCAATATTCTTTATTACAACGTTCTGCTGCAAGCTGTCAAAACTACATTTTTGGTGGTTTCCTCCAGAAATTTCCTCTCCCCTAAAAAACATGGTTTTGTATCTACCACCTGTAGAAAACTATGGGGCTGGTCTAAGTGCAGGGGTATTTTGGTCACACAATCTGGCCCGGGTCTGGCTTAAATGCCATGCAATTTTAACCTTTTAAAAACAATCTCTCAAAGGCCTAGGGGTGCACTATATGAGATGGGGCTGGCTCAGTCAATTGTTTACATCAGAGGGGAAGAAGAGAGTCAGGGTTTCTTGGAGACAAAGTGTGACAATTCTGCAGCTATTTACCACCTCTGAACAACTTGATTCAAATAAGCAGAAAATTGTATTGATGATCCACTTCTATTGCATGCAGAGCTACGCCCCAAAGCCAATATTAGAAAGAAAAATCCCTTAATTTTGCCATGTCTTACTGGAATGCATTAATAAATAATACCCCAAGGGGCATTCCCTCTAACTGTATGTGCACAGTATAAGCTGCATCAAGAGGTAATAAAAATAAGGTTAAATCAGTAGATTCTACTTTTACTATGATGTAGCAATATTCAGAAATCCTTGACTGCATGCTATAATGCTTAGATCACCACCAGACTGAAGAATTTTTAAAAGGCTAAAGCAACAATGCAGGGAGGGGTATTTGTGACCTCAACATTTACTTTGGTTTTCTAGCATCTGGAGATATTCAGCAGTGTTCTGCTCTCATGAGACAGCAAGAATAATGCAGATATCAGAGGAATCCTGTTTATTGGTTATATCCAAATTTTAAGGGGACGCGTGTGCCTGTGGTACACTCGCAAACAGGAACCATGTTAGAAACAGATGCATTGTTCCTAGAGAAAAACAGCAGCTACATGTGTACTTCAAAACATGAGTGAAAGTTGGAATAGTCAAACTGGCTGAAAGATTAAATGATCAGCACGTACACCCAGGAAACACACTGCTGAAACAAGTTAGTTTTTCAGTAGAGTTTTCTGGTAGTAAAGATTAAGAATTTATTAATACTTTAAATTGGTCACTGGTGGCTTTTGTATTTTGATAACACAATTTAATTTCACTGCATTTTTTCCCCCTAGCATATAGTGACAGGAAAGAGAAGGAAAAAAGCTATTTCCTTCCAAATATGCCTTTTCATATTAAAGTTCAAGATAACAGGACACCACAAAAGGGAACAATCACCTTGCTTTGTTGCAAATGTCCTATAATATTAAAAATTTATCCATCTGGTTTCAGTGTAATGTAGCCCATTAAGGATACCATTTATTCTTTAGCCTAAGTGTGTGTTTTAGCTTATGCTCCATTCCAATGTGTGATTTGTTATTTTAGACATTCTTGTGTAATGATTTCTGTGTTAAATTACGTATTCCAAAAGCCACTGGATGAGGCCCCTATAGTTGTTTAAAGGAACAATAAGAAAACATTTAAAAAGGGAAAATGTATAAGTGTTTAACCTGATATTCCACATCCTAAGTTCTATTTTATTAGGCTGGGGAAAAGTTCTCTACAGAAAGGTACAACAATTTTTGCTACAGGACTAGACAAAACACACTAGTACTTGTATCCTGCACTGGTATGAAGATGGATGAGATAAGCCTTTCCCTCTCTATGGGCCAATTTCTACAGTGGTGTATACCCCAGGCAATCCTACTCTCAGACAGCAGAATTTGGTCCTATGGATTTCTCCTTAGTAGTACAGGAGTGACCCTACCTGACTGGCTGATAAAAAAGCAGACGTCATCTCTGAAGACTGGAGTGTTTCTGTCCAAAAAGTCACTGGCTAGTTCAACCATAACAGGCAATTCAGTCAATTCTTCTAGCACTTGACGAGTCTGGTAAAATAGAGATGTCAGGAAGTTATAATGTGTTTAAACACATTTTAACAAAAGAAGCCTTCAAAATTGCCAACCACTGGAAAATATTACAGTCAAAATACCATTATGCAGGTTAATGAAAATATAACACAAGACTAGTCACTAGACCTAGATTCTAAATCACACTAGATCAGTAATAAGAAAGGTTACTTATGACCTTGGCACTGCAAAAAGATCTATGGGGCAGACCCACAAACTGAAGTAGAGTACTATTGACAAACACCACACAGCTGCTTATATCATAAATTGTTTACAAAGTAAAGTTATTTTTCATAATCTGTTTCACTGCAACCTGTCCGAAGAGGACATCTAGACTCCAGCCTGGGCGTTCGTTAGGAAATAACATTCCTGAAGCACCCCAAAAGCACTAATCAGTACTGGGGGCAAAACTGAAAACCTATTTCAGCCCTTGATGGTCTTCTATAATTATTTGTATTACAAGAGGGCCTTGGGGCTTTAGCCATAGACCAGGACTCCACTGTACTGTACATCCAGAAGCCACAAATAGCCCCTCAGCCTAGGGACCCTTACTCTCGATCATGAAACTAGCCAGATGAGTGTCCGTTTCATTTTCAGGTTCTCAAGAACTAATTTAATGCAGCTTGGTTTAAGTGTGATTTTTTTTTTAAATGTACAATCTTCCTTAAAAAATTTAAATTCCTTAGCAAATGTATGGATTATCTTGAATCCCAGGCATATGGGCTCTCATGCTGCGACCCAACAATGTTTGAATTAGAGCCGTACCTTCGTGCCCCGCGATTATATCGTATCTCAGAGGAGCAGGGTTACACATGGTTTGAACTCGGCCCTGAATCTGCAAGTGTTTATGAAATGCTGTGGCATAAAGTAGAACCACTGCATTGTGAATGGCTCTTTGATAATGTTCCATCAAAGCCTGCATAGATTTCAAGGCCTGACGGAACCATTATGATCATCTAGTCTGACCTCCTGTACAACACAAGCCATAGAACTTCCCCTAGAACATATATAAATAGCAAAGGAGCAAGTCAGATGTGCCCCTCTGAGAGCTTTTAACTTTCTGAAGCCTTCTCACTATTACATTGTCCCTTTCCTTGCCAATTTTACCATATGATGAGAAGTTTTGTTTTCAGAAGTTTGCTATAGGAATAAAGAAAACTACAGGTAAACTTTTCATAAGCACTTAAGTGCAATTTTCAAAAGTGACTTAGGCACTCAAAGTCAAGGGGACTTGGGCTCCTTAAACACCATTGAAAATCTGGCCCCAGAGTGTATATTTCTACAGTACAACTGACTGGTCATTAACCTGCTCAATATTCATAATAGCAGCAGCTAATTCAGCCAAGGTTTGCAAGGAAACAGTGACAACCACTTACCGCAACTCCGGCGTGGTAGCTTGTCCCACAAGCAATCAGGATTAAACGCCGACACCGCTGAATCTCCTTGATGTGATCCTTCAGCCCGCCCAGATTCACTGTAATGGATGTGGATGAAAAAGTCACGATGGCCAAGTCGCTCAAGGACACACATAACCCATTGATCTCCGGGGCCCCTCTGATGGTTGTATATCATCTTAGGTTAAAAGAGCTGAAGCGTCTCAGTCTGTTTCTTAGCAGAGGACGGCGCCCACATAGTAGAAGCCATCATATATGGCAAGTTTGTCAGCAGGGAGAATGAACTCTCCTGACACAGCTATGGAAGGTCCCTTCTACGTAATGGCACTTCTTCTTACATAGATATAGAACTTCCTTCTCTTAGGCCACACATCTACTCTGTATCACCCCACCCCAAATTTGGCAGGCGCTAGATTTAAAACTGTAAAAGGATTAATTTAAATTACCAGTGTAGTCATCAAAGTTGACTCTTCCTCTCATTGTGTTAACAACAGATTCTGGTTGCTCAAAAATTTCCTTCTGCATAAATGAACTGAAGTTACCTTAAAAAAAAAAACACACACACACACACAATGGAAACTTTGTTATACTATTAATGCAATGAACAGGTGAACACATGGGGGCGAACATGCTGATTGTCAGAATGGTCAGGAGTGATTTTTCTCACTCCTGTACATGATCGTGTCACAGGAAGGTGCATGATGCTGTTATTTCACCTTTCACCAAAGCATCAGGAATTGGTCACCGCTGGAGATCAGACACCAGACTTGATGGACTCATGGTCTGATCCAAAAGGGCAAGTTCTAGTTTCTTTTGGGGACCAATCTGGGAAACAAGGGATGCTTCTGAATGGGAGAGAGAATCGTCAGCCCCACAGTTTTGGTTATTAAACCACCGGTTCCCGATGGCAGGGAATGGCCCTATATTTAAATGGAGGAAATGGTGAAGAACTTTTACCCTTCATGATCTGCTGAAGTTCCATCTGCAGGGTCTGGACTGCACGCCCAGGGTGGTCACCCGCTGTGCGTTTGATCCGGTGGATAGAAAGACGACCGTCCACCACAGCTGCTACGTCATCATCTTCAAGGAAAATCACTCTGTTGGTGTGCTCAATGACAGCACTAGAAAGAGAATAGACCAGTTGCCATAGGACACTACTTCACAAAGGAGATGAGGGCTAGAGCTGAGTCCATAATCGAACGTGCAATTTATTTAAAGAAGTTGCACAGTTCACTTTTTAGTGTGTCATTATTTGATTAATTTAAGGCCCCACTTTTAGAAATCTCTATGAATTCCTAAGGCAAAGTGTATTATGCAACAGCGTAGTCTAATCGTTGCAAGCCGCAGACTGGGAGCCAGCATTACTGGATTCTATTCCCACCTCCGCTGTTGACTTGGGCCATTTCTACACTAGAAAAATAGGTTTGAAAATACAAGCTTTTAACTGATGTGATTTTAAACACGACTTTGGACAGGGCAAACCATATTTAAATACATCAGCTGGTTATAGTTAACCCTGTTTACCTAGCATAGAAATGGCCTTGGGTAAATCACTTAATCTCTGTGTAAAAGGGGGAAAAGACACACGGGTATCCTAAGGCTGTATCCTTAAAGCTCTTCAAAACTCTCAGATGAAAGGAGCTGCAGAAGTCAATTATGGTCACACTTACATGTGTTTCTGGAACAAACACTGTTACTTTACTAACATGCTAAAGACCGACGGTTTCACCAAGGATTCAACAAGGTTAGTTTTTTACCATTAGCTTTTACCTTCCAGTAGGGTTAACATAAAAGACTTTTTAGGCGATACAGGGAATTAGGCATGCACACAGAGTCCTTAGAAGAACTGCACAATTCTCCTCATAATTTCTGGGTCTGTCTTTTTAATTTAGGCCACTGTCTTCACAAGATTCCCATTACTCATCTCTGGAATCATATTAACTGATGAACTTGTACTAGGACAATGCCACAGTAAATAATGTTTTCACCCCTCAGCTCACAGAGAGCCGAGAAGCGATAAGTCTTCATTTCTTTAACAAAGTCTTATTTAAGCTGCCTTTCACCCCCTCCCCGGCATCAGTAAAGAGGGGCATGCAATTTATGAATGGCAAGTAAGTGACATCTAGTTGATGTTTGTAAGACACTATGAGAGTTGTTACGCACCCTTTGCTAAGTATTGATAAAGTAACAGTTGTAACCCAGGTTACCCATTAGGGCTCTAAATTTAAAGGGCATGTCAACAGTTGTCTTGGAATCCACTAAAGATGCTGAAGAATCTCACCTCGCGTCAGAAGCAAAGTAGTACTCCACAGCTTTCTCTTCAACAGGGAAAAGACAGGTGGTGCTGTCGATACGGGAGAGGCTGCAGCTTCCTTTCTTGTCTTTACCTTTAATGTTATACACTGTATTAGCAATCAGTGTCACATACACTTCCACAATAAAGAACACACGCTGCAATGTGTCAATCTTGATCACCGTTCCCAACTCACAGTACCAACATGAAGCATTATTTTGAACACTTCACATTTTGGTTGAGATCAAGGGGCTATAGTCAATTTAACACTGATGAAAATAGGCTTAGCAAAAGTGATCAGGATTTTTTTTCTGGGTAACATTATTTGTTCCCATTCTCAAGCCCTTTCTTAGTTTGCTTACACGGCACTGAAAGCTTTTTGGATTAAATCTACTTGACATTAAACATGCTATTGATATGTTCCATACTTGTAGTGTGTCTATAGAGAACTTCAATAAAAGAACTAAACTAGGAAGTCTCTGTACGATTCTACTCTGAAAAATGACTCAAAAATCATTTCACAAGGTTTCACATTTATTAGATACCCATATTTTTTCACTCATTCTGTCCTGCTTACAAGTTTAAACATTTTTCTTTTTTAACAACTGCTGTGCACACTCACCGTGGTGTTTGAGAGGCAAGCGGGACTCTCTCTACTTTACATCCCCATGTTTAATAAAAATTCTCCACACCAAAAGCAAACTCTCTTTCTCCTGGTCCATTTGCTATTAGCGTTTGTACAATGGCCACGGAGTACAAGAGCTCAGTACTGTTCGTGCGAGACCAGAAGTGGAGCAACTGACAAATGAGCTTCTCATAATTTTGGTCCAAGCTTGTAACATTGGCAGCCTGCAGTCTGGGCAGTCAGATTTAACAGCTCATAGGAATTATTTCTGTTGGTCCAAGGAGGCGTGACTAACAGCAATGAGCTGTAGGGGACATTTTGGGGATGTTGGTAGAAATTTTTCCAAAAGCCTAAAATTTCACGGAAAATTCCCTCTAGTATTTCAACATTTTTTAACCTGCTCTAGAATTTTTTTTTCTTAACTTCAAGAAATTGTTTACCAGTGAAGACTAAGACTGTAGTATAGTCTAAGAGAAGTGGCTAAGACTGGTTGCTTAACATTTGAGCTTGGACAAAACACTAAACATGCCAGAGAGAGCAACCTTGCATCGGCAGGGGGTGATAAAGAGAAGTCACAGAGGATAGATGGGTTATTCTACAAGTTTCTCTTTTCTATTCTGTCTAAAATTAAAGGATGACAAATTTTAAGTTGACATATACTACAAGGAATACACTCTACAGGCCTGATTATTTTACTTGTACTAAAATAGCATAAACTGGGTAACATTTTAATTACAAAACATGTACTTCATTGATTTAAATACCCTCCCCCCACAACAATAGCTAATATTCAGATCAATACAGCTGCAATTTAGTTAAGTTTTCCAAAAACTTTTTTCTAAAATCAAAAATATTGCTTTCATGTTGATACTGAGGGAAAATAAGGAAGTTCCACTAAACCAACAGTTCAGAGCGCTTCAGATTTCTATGTTCCTTTCAGTTTGCAAATCAGAAAACAAAGAACACAACCACCAGAAAAGGCAGAGCGATGGTGCTAGTGGCCATTCTCCAAATAAACCGCCCACCCTTGATTGAAGCATGCAGATTTTCTTTCCCCAGGTAGGACATTTCACTGCATCATCTTTATTATGTCAGCATTGCTTTCCATTAGATTCAATCTTTTCATCATCAGCACTTAAGAAGTTCAGTTTCAGCAAACCAAAGCCAGCTGCATATCATCAGTGGATATATCACTGATAAAGATTGCCTGGCTGCCACTTTTTAGGCTCTAACAGCAACACAGCAGCAATCCCTCGCCTTCAGAACAACGACTGCTACTGCCTACTCAGGGCTTGCATCACGGACCAAAAAAAGGGGGAGATTTTGCAGACAATTGGGGGTGGCGGGGAGAATAAAACAAGCACTTCAAAATCCCTCGGAGGAAAAACTGCTGAGCATATTTTGATACCATATCAACCTCCACTGTAGCAATTTTAAGCATATGCTAGTTTTAAAATACGAACATAGCACAGATTAGTATTAGCTTCTACTTAATATGAGATATTCTCTATGCTTACTTGAGCAAGGCTACATTTGAAATTGCTTTAAGAGGCACTTGCAAAGACAGAGTGGCATATGTTAATGTCACTGTCTTTGACTAAAACCACCGTCCATTATAGAGAATTCCTAGGGATAACATGAAACCCTATTGCCAGTTAACAAAGGAAGAGCAGCGCATCATGCCCAGGCTGTCAGCAGAAGTTCTTACCACAGGTGTGAAATGTTTTTGAAAAGTGAGAAACCAACCAGTTTATTGCATTTTAACTAGACAGACTGGCATGCCACAGAATCTTTATCTATGCGTACTAAGGCCTGGTCCACACTAGGACTTTAATTCGGATTTAGAAGCGTTAATCCGAATTAACCCTTCACCCGTCCACACTACGGAGCCTGTTAATTCGAATTAAAGGGCCCTTTAAATCGATTTCTGAACTCCACCTCGACGAACGGAGTAACGTCAAAATCGATTTTGTTAATCCGAATTAGGGTTAGTGTGGCCACAAATCGATGTTATTGGCCTCCAGGAGCTATCCCACAGTGCACCACTGACCGCTCTGGACAGCAATCTGAACTCGCATGCACTGGCCAGGTAGACAGGAAAAGACCCATTAAAATTTGAATTGCATTTCCTGTTTCCTGTTTGCTCAGCGTGGAGAGCACAGGTGACCCCAGATACCTCAGCTCATCAGCACAGGTAACCATGCAGGCTGATAATCGAAAAAGAGCACCAGCATGGACCACACGGGAGGTACTGGATCTGATCGCTGTATGGGGTGAGGATTCAGTGCTAGCAGAACTTCGTTCAAAGAGACGAAATGCCAAAACTTTTGATAAAATCTCCAAGGGCATGATGGAGAGAGGCCACAATAGGGACTCAGATCAGTGCCGCGTGAAAGTGAAGGAGCTCAGACAAGCCTATCAAAAAACAAAGGAGGCAAACGGTCGCTCCGGGTCAGAGCCGCGGACATGCCGCTTCTACGCAGAGCTGAATGCAATTCTAGGGGGGGCCGCCACCACTACCCCACCTGTGATCGTGCAAACCGGGTCTGGGATAGTCTCTACACCTGAGGATTCTGAGGGTGGGGAAGATGAGGATGAGGAGGAGGAGGAGGAAGATCAGGATCTTGCAGAGAGCACCCAGCACTCCGTTCTCCCCAACAGCCAGGAGCTTTTTCTCACCCTGACTGAAGTACCCTCCCAAGCCTCCCAAGCCAGTAGCCAAGACCATGACCCCATGGAAGGGACCTCAGGTGAGTTTACCTTTTAAAATATAAAACATAGTTCAAAAGCAAGGTTTTTTAATGATTATTTTGCCCTGAGGACTTGGGATGCATTCGCAGCCAGTACAGCTACTGGAAAAGTCTGTTAACGTGTCTGGGGATGGACCGGAAATCCTCCAGGGACATTTCCATGAATCTCTCCTGCAGGTACTCCAAAAGCCTTGCCACAAGGTTTCTGGGCAGTGCCGCTTTATTCCGTCCTCCATGGTAGGACACTTGTCCACGCCATGCTTGCAGCAAGTAATCTGGTATCATTGCCTGACAAAGCCTGGCAGCGTATGGTCCCGGTGTTTGCTGGCATTCAAGCAACATCCGTTCTTTATCTCGCTGTGTAATCCTCAGGAGAGTGATATCGCTCATGGTAACCTGCTTGAAATATGGGAACTTAATTAAGGGGACAGAGGTGGCCGTTCCTACTGTGCTGTTTGCCTGTGGCTGATAAGAAATCCTTCCCTGCAGTTAGCTTTTAGCAGGGGTGGGGGGGGGGGGTGGGTTTGGTTTCAGCAGGGATTCCCTGTTACTAGCCACGCGGTCGGCTGCTTGCCTGTGGCTGATAAGAAATCCTTCCCTGCAGTTAGCTTTTAGCAGGGGCGAGGGGGCTTAGTTTGGTTTCTGCCTCTTCAGATCCCCTTTTCATCCCTTCAGTTATCCTTGTCTTTACCCCCTTTGCTTTGTTTCTCCCAAACATCCCTCTCCAAGTGCCCCATGTCTCTGCCTATCCCTTCCCACCTTCCCTTTTCAAGCCTCTCCCACCCAGTTTCTGCCCCACTTTCCCTGAAAGACAATGGCTTACCATGGCTGAATGCAAGCAGAATTCTGTTGCCCGGACCTGCGTCTGTGATCTCTAACACCAAAGCCACAGGCACTCAATATTAAGATGGAAAATGCGACCTTGTACTGAAATCACATGTGCTATGTAATGTGAATAGTGATCACCATGAAAGAGTGCAAGCATTGTTCTGTAAAATGTATCATTTTAAAAACTTCTCTCCTTTTTTTCAACCCTCCCTCTAGCAGCTGCAAATGTCTCAAGCCTCACTCCTGCGTCCAGAAGGCTATCTCAGATAAGGCGTCGTAGAAAGATGACGAGAGAAGACATGTTCAAAGAAATAATGAAATCCACCCACAATCAAAGAGCTCATTTGGATGAGTGGAAGGACACTGTATCTAAATTTAGGAAAGATGCCAGTGACCGTGAGGTCTTGAGGGATGCTCGAGATGAGAGGTGGCAGGCTGCAACGCTGGGGCTGCTGCGTGAGCAAACGGACATGCTCCGGCGTCTGGTGGAGCTTCAGGAACGGGAGCAGGATGTCAGACTGCCGCTGCAGCCGCTGTATAACCTACCTCCCCCCTCACCATGTTCCATATCCTCCTCACCCAGACGTGTAAGAACGCGGGGGGGGATGCTGCGTGCACCCTCTCACTCCACCCCAGGGGAGAGCCCAAGCAAAAGGCTGTCA